GTACAAAACTTATGGATCCTTTTTTGGCAGGCACTTCTGATCAGGATAAGATGGAGAACTTGTTTTTAAACTTTGAACATACAGCGCTCCATCAGATTGCGAAATTTTGCTCCTTGGTTGTAAAAGCTCATCAGTGTTCTGGTTGTCACTTGGGTTAGGACTGCTTGATTCTTACTTCTACTGTTACCTCTATCATCTTATTTTATTCCCTTTTACTGTGTTTTATTGCAGCGTATTCTTAAGTTTGGTTTTAGCGATCAAAATGATTGTACAGTGTGTCTCTTATTACCCTGTTGTATTCTGGAAGTTTTACCATTTGGCCATTGTAATTTATTTTTATGGTTTTATATTGCTGGCTAAGCGCTGTAACAATAAAATCCATTCATTCATTCACATGAAACTACCTTATACTGAATCAGACCCTTGGTCCATCAAAGTTTGTATTTTTTTTTTTAAATTAACAAAGTCTGTATTTCCTACTCAGACCGGCAGCAGCTCTCCAGGGTCTTAGGCAGAGGTCTTTCCCATGACCTACTGCCAGATCTTTTAACTGGAGATGCCTGGGAGATTGAACCTGGGACCTTCTGCATTCCAGGCAGGTGCTCTACCACTGAGCCACAGCCCCTCCCCACTTGATTTACTTGGGGTCCCAATAACAAACAACTCATCTTCTTTAGGACAGGGGCTGGTCATTCTGAAAGTGACCTGAGGAGTTCACCCCTTGTGGTACAGAAAGGACCTTTCTTTTCCACCCAGAACCGAAGCATAACCCAGACTCTTGCATAATGAAGTCTTGTTTAAGGGGGAGTTTGAGTAGCCTTTATGACTCAAAAGGAAAAATGACACCGATTTAAAACACACTTGATCTTAGCCAAAAATAAACACGATTCACTTCGGTGGATGATCCTCTGGCCATATGTAGTGTTCAGATGTGTACCATATGATAGAGGATGCTGTGGTAATTCATAGACAGTCTTACCCTTGTTTTGGCGTCAATTTTTCCTCCTCTGTCAAGCAGCAGTTTAACCATGTTGGTGTTCCCTCGCTTCGATGCTACATGTAATGGAGTGATATCGTTCTGTGGGAGATTAAAAAAAGGAAAGAAAGGACAACTTAACTGAATTCCACCACTCAGTTGACCTTTACGTGGATGAAATCTTTTCCACAGATTGTGCTTTCCGTGACCTTCATTTGCAAAGTTAGACCAGCTTCTTATCTGTAGTTCTTTTTACAATGTAGATATGGTGCAGTGTGTACAGTGATTGGGGTCTGCGTTCAAACCCAGTTCAGCAAGATGAAAAAGAGAAGAGATTGGATTTATACCCCGCCCTTTACTTGGAGTCTCAGAGCAATCTCCTTTCCCTTCCCTTCCCCATAACAGACACCCTGTGAGATAGGTGGGGCTGAGAGAAATCTTCCAGAACTGTCCTTGAGAGAACAGCTCTGACGGAACTATGGCTTGCCCAAGGTCACCCAGCAGCTGCAAGTGGAGTAGTTGGGAATCAAACCTGGTTCTCCCAGATTAGAGTCTGCACACTTAACCACTACACCAAACTGGCTCTCAAGTAAGCAAGTAAGTTCATTTGTTGCCCTGGGGAACCTCATTTTCTCAAAGAGTTTGCAATATGTCCTTATTTTTCCCTTACTGCTCCGTAAAGCAGCTCCCTGTGTAATCCAAAGAATATGTTCTTGGGAGTCAGCCCCGTTGAATAGACTTGAATATGTTTCTGAGCAGACTTGCTTAGGATTGCTGTCTTTGACTGTGAGGCCATGATTTGCCTCAGACAGTCTAGCAAGCTTCCAAGTGGATTTCAAGCTAGCACTAGCGACTGATGACAGTTTTTTTGCAGGTGAGCCTGACAGCAGCTTTGCTTCAAAAACCTGCAAAACCTGTTAGATCACAGGTGATAGCAGGACCAATAAAATAGGGAGACAACAATACCTCCCTTATTCTTCTGCCAACCTCGCTAAAAAAATCTTGTTTGTCTACAATTTCCAAACTTCGCTTTCTGCCTCCTGCATCAGATCTTGGTGAACATGTGGAATGTTCTCTGGGAAGAGCCCCTGTCCTCATAAAGGTAAAGGTTCCCTTGCTCAAAAGCCAGTCGAATCCGACTCTAGGGTTGCGGTGCTCATCTCTGTTTCCAAGCCGAAGAGCCAGCGCTGTCCAAAGACATTTCCATGGTCATGTGGCTGGCCTGACTAAACACCAAGGCGCACGGAACGCTGTTACCTTCCCACCTAAGTGGTACCTGTTTATCTACTTGCAATTTCTTGCTTTCAAACTGCTAGGTTGGCAGGAGCTGGAACTAGAGACGGGAGCTCACTCCGTCATGCGGCACACTCGGGTCTTGAACTGCTGAACTACTGACCTTCCACAGCCTGCAGTTCAGCGTCTTAACCACTTGAGCCACCGCAGCTCCTTTACTGTCCTCATACCGCCAACCAATCGTAGCTCCACAAGAACAAAGCTACACAACCCTAAGACAAAACCCACTCCTATCTGTTCATCTAACGTCAGAAGGAAAGCACGGCACATAATTCAGAAGTGTCAGGGCAGGAGTATGCAAGACTGAGTGATCCGTGCCTTAACAGATCTGACAAAAATCCCTGGTCCCTAAAACTGAACATGATGGGACATTTCCATCATTTAGGCAATCGAGACTCCACCAGGGTTCCTGAATCCCCCCTTCCCAGCTCAAAGCTTCCCCCCACCAGCACAGGAGTGCATGCTGCCTAACCTGGGTTGGCCCTGCCCCCCACAGCCAGTGCCTGCGGGCCATATAAAGGGGGTGCCGGGACCTGCCCCCAGCAGTCCTTGCCTCAGCCACCCAAGAAGTCTTCAAGGAACTGCCACCCGCTGCTTGCCCCACACCATCAGAGATGAGTCACCCCCTCGATTTTCTTCACTCCAAGTGAGCCTCCATGGCCACCGTTGTTGGGGGGGGTGATCCGGGCTCCGGGGCCATTGGGCAGGCAGCCAGGGGTGGAGGGAGGTGCAGGAGGCCCAGGTGTGCACATTTTCCTTCCTCCCTTCCCAGGGGAGGGGGGTCTGGAGAATGCATTTAAACTCAACAGGGATATTGGTTTCTTGTCTCATTACACATTGCTCTCATTCAGTTCTCACATATGTATTCTCCACAAGGAGGACTATACAGCCTCTGTATGTCAGTGTATTTCTTTTTCAGAATAGTATATTAGAATACTGAATGTAATGCAAGGAATACTGGAACGTTTTGCTGACATACCACTGCACCCACCTCAAAAAAAAAAAAAGGAAAAAATGCTGCTGTGGGGGGGGGCCTTACCCGCCGGCCCAGATCTGGCCACTGGGGGGAACCCCACCTTCAAATTGCTGGGATCGTGGGGACGAGCCCGGCGCGATGACGTCACACAGAGGAAACGCCATCACACCGGCCACATTGGGGGTGTGTGTGCTCTATTATTTGAGGGGGAACTCTATGTTTCCCCCTCGAATTATAGTGGCCCCACCTCCAACATGCCTGGTGCGATGACATCACTTCCGGGTGATGTCATTGCGGGGCGCGCACAAAGTGCGCACACCAAGGATGTCCCACCGGACACCCCCACCGGAATGAAGGTACGACCTGGCAACCCTATTTGTGGGGAAGGCAGGATATAAATGGAAGAAAAAATAAAACAAAATAAAAATGGCTGCCTACACATGCTAATTGGCATAGGGTGCAACCCGGGAGAATTCTCCTACCTAAGTGCCATTAAAACAAATGGGAACTAGGCCAGGGCAGCCCTATGTTCTTGCACCGTTCCCATTCACTTCAAGAGGGCTTGCATGGTAAAGCCTCACAAGAGATTGAGCCCCATGGGTCTCTCGCTCTCTCCCTTGTCACGGCCAACGAACCCAACTGATGCGTCTGCTTCCTGTGGCCACAAGGCAGGGCCCCTCTGACGAGAGGCCGTAAACGTTTGCAGACCACAAGTTTGCACAACGAATCTTCATCAACTTGGAATTCTGTTTAAGCAATGCAACCATATGCAAATGCGCTGAATATTCAGGGCAATTATATAACAGACTCACTCATGCGCGAGGATCCAAGATGTAGCAGGGTGCGCTACGCATCCTGCCGAATTGCCTTGACGGCAAACAAAAACAATTAAACAAATTAAAATGGAAAGCACGCAGGCCCCAAATGGGGATGGCAACAACAGTTTTGAGTCATGCCCTCAGTTATGCGTTGGAGAGGTGTCGCATAGCCAGCAAAATAAAAGTGATGTATGAGCTAGGCCAACTAAGTATGAGCGGGAAGACATCTGTTCTCTGGCTGGCAGCATTACGGATGCAGCAAATGCCTCGAAACCAGGCACAACCCCAGTCAAGGGAGTGCTGATCAGCAAGCATGTCTTCCAAATCAGATCCACGCCATGCCTGCGACAGTAAGTCAGGCTGTCTTGTACTTGATGGCTAATCAGGGTGCCATGAGCCATGACTTGCCTACCATTTGACAATGGATATTCACCTTCCCTGCATCAGACAAAAAATAATCAAACTAAATACTCTCACAGACCCATGACACTGTCAGAAGAAGCAAGGATGGGGATCCCATCTCTCCACTCGCTCAAGGGCATTATGAGTCAAAGCTATTAGAGATAGAAAACACCAGGCAAAGAGATGCTCCGTGGCCCCTCTGCCTTTCTCTCCTAAATCAGTGCTATAAAGTTCCTTGGGAGGAGGGTGTTCTTGGCTAATATCGTCCTGTAAAATACCATAGACGCTGATGGTGCTATAATAAACAATCAACAGATCATTAGCTGTCGTAGATTTTCCGGGTTGTGTGGCCGTGGTCTTGGCATTGTAGGACCTGAAACCTGATGTTTCGTCAGTAGCTGTGACTGGCATCCTCAGAGGTATAACACAGAAAGATGGAGTACTCTCTGTGTCAAGGTGAGAAGAAAAAGGTAGGCAGGTCATTTATATCTACTCCAGAAGGTGGGGTAGGGCTGAGTCATTATCTTGCAGGGGTTTCCCAGGCTATGAACATGCTAATGGTGGGGTTTCCTGAGGAGGTTCTTTTGTAAATGGATTGTTTCCTGAGGAGGTTTCCTGTTTCCTGAGGACAACATATTAATCAACAAATCCATTATCTTGATCGGGCAGGACACAATTCCGCAATGTTAGGTCAGTATCCTATCCAGCAAACCATAACTACACGATGGTTTGGGGCAGGGGTCATTTACTGCAGGAGCGCACAGAGGCACAGATCCAACGTTCGTGTTCCTCAGAGAATCCATACAAAGGTAAAACTTTCCTATAGTTGGCTCACTGGAGGCCTCACTTCAAAAAGGATGTGGACAGAATGGAGCAGGTGCAGAGGAGAGCGATGGGGATTATTTGGGGCTGGAGACCAAGCTCTATGAGGAAAGGCTGAGGGACTTGGGAATGTTCAGTCTGGAGAAGAGGAGGTTGAGGGGCGACATGATTGCTCTCTTGGAGTATTTGAAGGGCTGTCTCTTAGAGGAGGGCAGGGAGCTGTTCCTGTTGGCAGCAGTGGATAGGACTCACAATAATGGATTTAAATTAAGGATGGGAAGGTACTGGCTGGATATTAGGAAAAGTATTTTACAGTAGGAGTTGCTCAGCAGTAGAATCAGCTGCCTGGGGAGGTGGTGGGCTCCCCCTCACTGGCAGTCTTCAAGCAGCGGCTGGACAAACACTTGTCAGGGATGCTCTAGGCTGATCCTGCATTGAGCAGGGGGATGGACTAGATGGCCCTTCCAACTCTGTGACTCTATGATTATTGGTGTGGTGCAGATGGATAGCAAACAGTATACTTGCTAATTAATGGTTCCCTGCTTTCTTGCACTCTAGACTAGGGAGGAACTGTTATGGGCTTAACACAGGGCCAAACCACAGTTGGTTGCCTTGTGACTTACCCCTATTTCCGCCCGCCCATGTTGCAATGTTGCAATTCAAATAGTTATATTTCCTGTTTAGTGCAAGCCATAGTTTGCCACTGCAGCTGGATCAGCAAACTATGGGCAGCACTTGTCCTGCAAACCAGGATGGCAAACCAAAGTTTGAAGCTGGCTTCCAACCCAAGT